TCCCATTGAGCAGAAGAAGAACAGACTGATGATCAAGGACAGAGCATCTTCATCCTCCTCTTCCTCTCAGCTGCCTCAACCCCCCACACACACCCGCAAGCCTAAGCTCGCTCTGCTGCGGGAGGTTTTCGGAAGAGGTGGGGTTTGTGTTTCATCGTCTACAATTTAGACTTTGCAAAACATTGGCGAATCATTGCTAGTGACTCATTTGTTTTAGTTACCCTGTAAAGGAATACTGTTTAATTTCAGATCTAAAATAGTGTTTTATCTGTTTTAATCTCTCCAGGTTCGGTCTTTTGCTGGCTTCTTCCCCTCCACTCCAGCCCTCCGTCGGTTGGCGGCATCACCTACTCCGCCCTGCCCGACTACGACGTCTGATCTTGGCGAGGAAAGGTTTCGTGTGTGTGCGAGAGAGAAAAGAGTGAATTTTCTGCCGAGCTACGATGTCTTACCTTTTGGAAGGAGGATGGAGACCGGGATGAATGAAGTGTGTGTGTGTTAGATAAAGGAATGAGTGAGTGTATGAAATGTGTGATTTTATCCCCCCGGACCTAAACGAGTTCAGCCTCAGAACCCAGACTCTTGACTCTCTTTCCTGTTGGGACGGAGGAGCTCCGACGGTCCCGATCTGTAGTTTAACCACCAGCCTTCTTTGATTACTGTGTGTAGAGGTTGGCTTCTCGTGAACACTGGGGTTTGACTGATGTGGGTTTAACAAGGCTGATTTTTTTTTTTCTGGTATTTGATGCATTAATCTACTTCAATTTGTCCATTTTCACGTCCAGAAATTGCAAACATTCAGCGCCAGATTTAATAAGAATATGGACCAGGAGGGAATTTATTAGTGGATTTAATAACGTAGTGATCCTCCAAAACAGCTGCGGTTCAAGTCCACCAAAAACCTATTATTAAATGACACATTTGGCATTGCATTCCTTTTAACGTTGTCGAACTCACGATGGACAGGTTTTTTAAAAAAAAGGGGGGAAATCGATGCAGCAGAATCGGAGATTTCATCTTTTTGTTTTATTCTTTTTCCTCATCAAAACCTGGAGCCTACATTACCCAGAATGCAACACGTGTGTTACGCTAGTAGTCTAGTAGACACCAAAACTGTGGAAACTCCAAGATGCTAATAATGGAGTCTAATACACATGATGCAAAAGTATTTATGTATAAATACGACAAGGATTGATCAGCATTGACCCACATATCGGTCTGACCCCGGTGCTTTTACTCTGGTCAGTATTTATGATAACAGAAGATTTACAACACAAACTTTACCTCTTACTCAAACAAGCATCAGCCTGTAGAACGAAAAGCTACTGAAGGAGGTCAGGTAGGTCAACTTCATCAAAGTGTCACTACACCCTCAACCCCAGAATGAAAACTAGTTTCAGGTCTCACCCAAACTGTTGACACTAAATTTGCAGCACACTTAAATATCGCTCTATCCTCTCTTCATTGCAACTAAAGGGCCAAAATAACGAAGCCCTGGACCAGAAGTCTACTTATTTTGGGCCACATATTTTACAGATGCATCTCTAAGAGGTTCTTTGTTGTTACTGACATAGTTATAGTCCAACACTTTAATACAAACACCAAAAGACACTAGGTCACTGTATTTTTTATTATTTATTTATTTTTGTTCTCCGATCAAACAGTTGTTCTCAAGATAAGTGTTCTTCCTGAAGGGCAGAATTTCTACCCGGAACCATTTGCTTCCGAAGAACCCTTTTTTGGAGAAAGGGTTTTTCAAGGGTTCCCATGAGGAACCCTGGGTGGGTTCCAGATGAAACCCTTGAAATATAACAGGGTTCTCGGTAGAACCCCCTCGGTGTATTCCAGAGGACCCCCTTGGAATATTAAAGGGATCTCGGTAGAACATCGTGGGTGGGTTCTAGATAAAACCCTTGGAATATAAAAGGATTCTCGGTAGAACATCGTGGGTGGGTTCTGTATAAAACCCTTGGAATATGAAAGGATTATCGGTAGAACATCTTGGGTGGGTTCTAGATAAAACCCTTGGAATATAAAAGGAGGGTTCTTGTTGGCCCTTAGCAGGTGGAAAGATTCTGGTTAGAACCTCTAAAGAGGGTTCTGGGTGGAACCATTACACAGTTGAAGTGTTTCCTGTAGAACCTTTCATACGGGGTTCTGGGTGGAACCTTTCACAGATGTTCGGTTCTAAGTAGAAAACTCAAAGCATTCCAGGTGGAACCTTTTATAAAAGGTTCTACCAAAAAAAGGTTCTCCTATGGGGAGAAGCCGCAGAACCCTATGAAGTTCTAGTTGGCATGTTTAGTGACCAACTCTCATTTTTAAAAGATATTTATTTTATCCACTAATATGTCATTTTTTACGAGATGGAAAACAAAACGATCTACCTGTCCTCCGTTACATCCTGTGAACTATTGACACCAAACTGGTACAACAACAGAAATAATAGAAACTAAAACGATGTGTTCATGTGATGCCTCGTGGTTCATGAGCAAACAGGAAACAAGAATGTCCACAAAGAGATTAATTTTTGTGTTTCTGTTTATTTTATTTCCTCATTCCTGTGTTTATTTGTAAAGTACAACTGCGTTTGATGTGTTAACTAACTAAACTGAGTTACACTTATCGAACTAATACACACACACGCAGAGTACACTTCTCAGTATTCTGCTAAATCTCAGTGAAGGGACGATTTTTTAACTTATTTATTGTTTCTAACTATTCCGTGGAGATATCTCTACCAATAACTGTGTTTTGTTTTTTAATGTGATGGGGTGAGGTCGTCTTTGCTGCTGTTGTCGAAGCAACGATGAAGTGTGTAGTGGGGAAACAAAACAGTTTGAGGGTGAAGTTTAAGGCTGAACAAAACTACTTGGTTAGGTTTGGGCAACAAAAATACTGAAGATAGGTTTGGGCAACAAAAATACTGAAGATAGGTTTGGGCAACAAAAATACTGAAGATAGGTTTGGGCAACAAAAATACTTAGGTTTAGGCAACAAAAAGAAGTTGCAGAGATTGCCCATACATCTTTTAAAAAAGGAAGGGGTACACAAATAATAGTTAGCTTTTTACAGTATTTGTATTGTTATGTCTACACGTCGGAAACCGCTCTCCTTCATGTGATCATGAAACACTCACACTGAGGAGGTCTTTCGTGGTTGACGTCTCACTTTAAATTGAAAAGCGGCAGAAAAACCTGCAGACGCAAAGACAACTTCACCCCTCTGTGTGTTTTTGTGTATATAGTTATTATGTGTTGTCTTCATTTTTAACAAATGTTCCTCAAATGCTACAAAAACCAGAACAACTGCCAGTTGGGAGATGGTGTCACTTGTTGACTACTGTCAACCGCTCTCCAAACACTTCTTGACAGGCAGGTATCGCACACAGTACACACTCACCAAGGTTTGGTTCAGCTGTACATAGGAAGGTTCATATTTTATATATCGACGATGTGCAATTTTCATGAAGGGAAAAGTTATTTTTATTTTTTTATTTTTCTGTGTTTTCTCTATCGTGATCTGGATAAAAGAAAACAAAGGTTTGAAATGCTTTTGTATGAGTTGCGCGATGGATTTGTCTCACCTTGAATTTTAACATTTGTGGTGAAAATGAAACGGGGAAATAAGCTCTTCTTGCCTTTTCGTGTAAAATCTGAATAAGTTCCAGTCCCTGTACTCTGAAACATTTCAAACTGTGAATGTGTTGTGTCCGGGTGGGTTCTAACTTTCAGGGTACATGCTTGCTTGTTTGACTCAGTTGAAAAATGCAGTTGATCTGTTTTTTCATTCCAGTGTTTTTTTTTGTAAGTGGTGCTCTTGTTTCGGTTCCTCCACACTGGTTCCTCCTTACCGCTGGTTCTATCATGTAAAAAACATTCACCAGCTGTTAGCTGAAACAAAACAAGCGCACCCCATTTTGCTGTTTTCCTTGACAGCGGGAAGGAATGTGTGTACAAACAAAGAGGGCCTGAGATTAATGATTCGCAACCAGCCAAACATTTAACATTCACTTCTGCTAGCCTGTTTGGCAATTCAAAAACATGTACAACTTTATTGACTTCAATTTCCCTCCTCGGTCTACAGTGGCTTGTAATTGTTGCAAAGCCGGGTTTTTTTTAATCATAATTTTGAAAAGTAGTTCGCTAATAACACAAAAAAATCAACCAAAGAAGTAATTACCAACATTTGAAATACTGTTTTGAATATTAAACACATGAAGTTTGATGTCTGTAGTGTGGATGTGGTTAAAGTGTCTTTCACCATTGAGGTCAATGAAGAGTCTCGTGGACCCGAGTTAATCTTCATATTTTGGCACAATTGGAGGAAACTGAGGAGTTTTCTTCAGCTTGTAAAACTCTGTGTCTGTTGGCTGGTTGCCCCCAAAAAAAGTTAGTTTCACGCCCTTCAAACAAAAGCAACAAAGAGTTTATTATCATGTGGCTTCATGATGAACAAGTTTACAACCAACTGATGTTTTATTTATTGTTACTACCGTGACCTGTGTATTATTCCTGATGATGTGCTGCTCCTTCAACTGGAAGTAAAACGGATGTCTTTTCAACTTCACTGGCTCCTTTTGTTTCCTTTTGTTCAAATTAATTCTGAAGATTAATTATGTTTTTTGGGTTTAATAAATAGACAAACAACACAGTTTATGGTCTCAATCTCTAGTTTCAAGTCTTCAATACAGCACGATGTTCATTTCGCACATTATGGTCCATTTAGAGTCAAACAGACCATAAAGGAGGGGATGCTTTAGGGGTGGGGCTACACGGTGATTGACAGGTCGCCGCCTGGTTTTAACAGATTCAGAACGGATTCAGTTTTAACCTTCTCTTGTGAGGGAAAAGTGTTGGAATGACTGTATTCAGTCAGTCTTGTAAACTATAGCTGTGAACACAAGCCGCTCCTCTTTTCCTGGAAAGGAATTTGAAACCCAGACCAACCCCTCTCTCGTCTTCCTGCTCTACAACAAAGCCAGACCCGTTCAGTCCAAGAGGCCGGCCTCCTGCACAGATCTGCCAGTGCACAGATGGATCCAACCAGCGTGCTGCGAAGTGAGAGAGCTGACAATCCACATGCAGTGCAGATCAGTTAGTGCACACGAAGGACGTTAAACCCGAGATCAGAGGACAGCTTTCAACAGGAAGTGAAACTGAGAGGTGCAAGGACTTCACACTGACCAGGAAAAACACTGTTTGTCTTTTCCCTGCTCCTTAATGCCGAGGCCTGTCCCGGAGGAAAACAACATGTCAGCAGATTCAGCGAAGCAGCCAGAGAAGACGGCTGCTCCAGGACCTGCAGATGAGACCGATAAACCACAGGAAATTCTCACTGAGGATCGCACCCAGATGTTACAGACAGACGCTGAAGAAGAGCCCAAGATCAGGGCTGACTTCCTGAAATACTCGTGTGAAATAACGCTCGATCCAAACACAGCAAGCGCTTGTCTGCTGTTATCCGAGGGGAACCGAAAAGCAACAAATATGCACGAAGATCAGGGGTATCCGAGCCACCCGGACAGATTCCTGGAAGGGTCTCTGGTCCTGGGTAAAGAGGCTCTGACCGGACGCCATTACTGGGAGGTGGAGAGGAGCGGGGGGTCGGTCTCTGTCGCCGTCTCATACAAAGACATCAGCAAAACGGGAACTGGAAGTAATTTTGGATGCAACGACACGTCCTGGGCTCTGGATTGTTTCAACAACCGTTACGTAGTCAGACACATGTACATCCACGCTGCCGCACCCCACCCAATGTCCTGCAGAGTGGGGGTGTACCTGGACCACGGGGCAGGCATCCTGTCCTTCTACAGCATCTCCGACACCATGACCCTCCTCCACAGATACCAGACCGCGTTCACTCGGCCGCTCTATGCCGGACTTTGGGTTCACGGGGACACATCCGCTGCTACTGTTGTGTGCCACGAAGCCTCAAGTTGACCAGTTTGTCTTTTGCTGCCTTAAATGTAAATGTCCCAAAATGTGTTGCTTTTTGTAATGTTACGGGGAGCTTGTAATTGTCAGTTGACATTTAACGTTCAAACTTTGCCTTAAACCGGCGGCGACCAAAGCTTTGTCTTAAAGCTGCATTCTCTCTAGTGTCCATCAGGGGGCGACTCCTCTGGTTGTATAGAAGTCTATGAGAAAATGACTCTACTTCTCTCTTGATTTTATTACACACAGACCATAAAGCAGGGGATGCTTTAGGGCGGGGCTACACGATGAATGACAGGTCGCTATCAGAGACGTATACGGCGTCTCTATGTCACTCCACAGTCCAAATATGGTCACTTCCTGTTTATTCGCTGCAAAAGAACCAAGATGGCGACTGCCAAATTGTAGAACTATAGTGAATAATGTGTGCAGTAGTGGGCACCAGACCTTATAGGGACCTCATTAAGGTTCAATTCAATGAGGTTTTGGTGATTTAATTGATTGCACATTTGTGAGGGAAACGGTGGACTCATGGGTGGAAACACTCGTGCTGTGTGTCCTAAAGATAACTGGTTTCTTTTGAAGGGTTATGGATTGATCTCCAAACTCCCAAATAATTTAAGAGGTCTCCCAATACGTGACGTACGCAGCAGATGGCAGCATTACATCACAGTCAGAGGATATAAACTTACCAGCAGAGAAAAAAAAGTGTAATTCTTTCTCATGTGCTCACTGCATGATGAAAAGATGCATTCATATATTATGTAGCTTGTATGTGCTTTGAAAGAGCAACATGTGTAAGAGAACATGCAACTGGCTAAATTAAAATGATTCTAATAACATTTAGTAAAAAAAGCCATTTACATACAACATAAACATTAATGCCTCCATGGGTTATTAGGTTATCTCTTCATATGGTTTATATTGTTATATTTGTTAACATTATTCATAGGGGGACATATCTTATAAAGGCGTGTTTTTGTATATTTTTGGCTTTTTGCATCGTACAAATATTAGAATAAAAGCACTACTCTGTGGCAATATAAAAGTCATGGAAACAGTTGCTTCAGGAAACATAAAGTTAACGTGCCAACAAAACTGTATGATGGCAGGAATTATCAAAAAATGAATAAATATTTAAAATATCAAACAAGCAGAAGACAAAAACAAACGATATTACGGTCCAAAAGAAGAAAGAAGAAAATAAAATGCATAAGAACCTCTTTAAAAGAAAGAAAAGAAACCATGTTGAAGAGGTTATTGCATTTCTCTTTTACAGAAATTTAAACACTTACAGGTTTAAATTGACATTTGTATCATCATCTCTGAAGGCCTGAACAGAAACCAATATGGACATTTTTTAACTTATTTACACGAATCATCACAATATCTTGAGTGGCCCTGAGGTCATGCACTGTGTTAGAGGTTAAAATATTCAATGAATTTGAGAAATAACATTTAAGAGCAGCAGATACAGAAATACGTTTTTTTATTATTATTAATATTATTATTATAAATACTTTTGATAGAAAATTCATTTTGAGTTTGCTGCTGTATTCGGCCCAAAATCAGAAGACACTGTCCATCCTTTGGTCTGCTGTCAGCAGGTAGAAGTGACACATGAAGAGTCCTGCACTACACTTTATATTTAATGAACAAAATATGGTTTTGAGCTGAAAATGAAATGTTTGGCTGATTATGTCATGTAGGTTGCTTTTGCTGTATTTCGTCATTTAAAAAGATTCTTGTGTTGATGCAAAATAATGCAAAACACATAAAATCCCTCTAGAAAATAAACCCAGGGAGTTCCTTCTTTCCCTTTTCTGTTTCTGTGCAGACGCTGCAGCTATTGTTTCGGTTTCCTAAGCCGTTTAAAGCTGCAGGCTTTCTTCACTAATCTACTTCCTGATGCGTATTGGCTGAGCTACAGACACACCAGAGTACTGGAGGTGCGGTGGTCTCTGTGTGCGTCTCCAGGCCTGTTGTCTCAGCTCTCTAAGCTATTTAGAGCTAAGTGGCTGCTGGTTCCTGGAAAGACATGCTGATCTTTTGTCCCCCGGCTTCCGTTCGCCGCACAAAGGTAAGTACGGGGATGCGCAACGAAACACAAAGCGCTGTATCACAATGCTGGTGGCGGCTGTTCGGGTTCCCTGGTGTTAAGAGCGGCCATCCCAAAACGGATAACGTGTTCCCTGAGCAAAAAAACTTGAAAAATATTCTCCCAAGATCACAGGAGTTTAATGTACGTCTAGGACATTTAAGGATCTGGTTCCTGCATCTTCTTCCCCAATGAACCCATGTTTGCTCCGTCATCGTTTGTACATGTTGTGAAAAGTGTCCCACGTTTTTTTTAAATCATCATAATTGTTGTACGTCAGCGTCATACTTCTGTAAGGCTCACCAGCTGGCAGCCGGGTGAACTGGCTGTTGCTGGAGTTTGTATCGTCTTTTAATATCTTCTCTTTTTCGCTCTGCGCAGGCACCCCACCTCACCAATATCACAGATGCTCCGTAGATGGGTACCAATGATGGATGAACCTCTCGATGCAGCTTTTTTATATTTTTAATGTCAGACATTATTTTCTAAGGGCAGGTGTTTTTTGCTTTCAGTACATATCCGATTACAAGACGTCATCTACTTCATGGAGATTACTGGAAAGCCCGTCTAGCTCGCTACCTAAATAGGAAACTTTCTAGGATGAGAAGGAGGCATCACCCCTCGTGTCGATGGAATCTTTTCTTGAAGACGGATGCTGTTTGTTGAGCATCAACGAGGTCAAGCCTCCCGCCAGGGAAAACTCGTATGCGCTCGCTGACGGAGATGCTAATAGCCGCGCTAATAGTCGACGAGCCGCGTTCAGCAGATTGCGCGCATGTTGGGCTCCGAGCCATGGCCCACGTCATGCACATAAACACATACTGTATACGCATTTGCACACACAGCAGCACGCACCGAGTGTTGTTTTGAAACTCTAGCAGCGCTCTACGTCCCCAGTGGGCCCACTGGTTCGTCCATCAGTAATGAAACCCTAGCGGGTCACATGCTAGTGTTGAAATGCCCCCTGCTTGGTCCACCGGCCTTCGTCATCCACACTCACGGAAAACACTTCATCATCATACCTCTCCGGGTTTCAATGCCAAGGTCGGTCAGTCAGCGCGGAATTTATTAATTAATAATGTAACTCAGTCCTGTAGTGGATATATCTGGGGGACCTAAGCTGAAATGAAGTCACTGAGGTCATGTCTTCAGAGTGATTTCTTAGAGTTTTAGCAACCCAAGACTATTCAAATGAAAGATTGTTAAAGGATACGTAGCACCTACGCAAGTTAGAGATCTGCTCAGGTAGAAGAAGAGCAGAGACAAACTGGGATTCACGGTACAGGAAGCTGGTGATGATCCTGTGTGATCCACACAGAGTGAGGTCTCATCAGGTATGAGTGAAAACACCTGTTGATGAGGTGATTACACATCCAGCAGACAGGGAGCAACAGTAGCAGCCATCTTGTGTCGGGTTCCTGTCCTTCCGGATGAATGTAAGACTAATATTTGTTCTCCTTCTGCCTCTAACTCCAAACACGTTGGACTCTTTAGATGCTAAGTGCTCCACAGTGTTCATCGGCTAGCTGTTAGGTGCTGCAGGAAGCATTCAGCGTGTTTAGTATCCCGGACACATGACAAATGTCGTAAAGAAGAATCACTAAACATCTGTTCAGTGGTGGAATGTAACTCAGTGCATTTAGAAGACTACTGTAAGGGTACTGAAGTACATTAAAAACGTGAGGAAGTTGTACTTTACTTGAGTATTTCCATTGCATGCTACTTTAGACTTATAGTCCAATATATCTCAGAGGTAAATATTTTAAGAAAAGTACTTGAATACTTATTCCAAAATAATCTGATGTAAAAGTAGCAGAAGTGTAAATCTTTTTGTTGGTCTGTGTTTAACACCAACTTTCAGTTTGTTGTATTAGTACTTTTACTCGACTCACTGATGTGAATACTTCCTCCCGTGTTGCATCTGTTGTGTCTCTTATCTCAGAACTTGTGGCTCTCTGGGTTCACCCTGCAGTTGAGTTACTGCCAGTTGCGTCACATAAATAAATACCTCAAATGGGGAAAAAATGTAAATCTTGTGAGAAAGGATTTGAATCTTGAAAACACTTGTGAGCTGACGTACGTAGGAGCTCAGATGTCGTCAGAGAAAGTTTCCAAATGTCCAGCTTAGTGCAATCAGAGAACAAGCCAAGCTTTCTCTAAAGAAATAGATTCATGTTTGACTATTAATGACGGCGATCTGATAACGTGCAGAGATCAGATGTGGCGTTTCAAACTTTTAACTTTTGATTTAGACCCTTGAGTTTGACCACCGTTTGAGCTTTTCTGTCCGCTGAGCAATGAGGCCGAAAAAAGCGCAAAATATGACTCAGATGTGATCACATTAGATGACTTGATTGCTGATAACTTTCTTAAAACCCTGAGGCTCAACATCAGCCCTTTATTTAGTCACAGAGAGCCTGATGAGGAGGGAATCACAGCACAGTTAGACATTTAAGTGTAATTGACTCTGGTTTTGGCATCGGGACATTTAAAATAACAGAAAACAGAGCAGGAAGTTGCTCTTAAACTGTGGCGTCAGCGTGAATCCTCACAAACCAAAAATCCTTTTTATGAAACTGTTAATCTAATGTGGTTTTCAGATGACTGATGGACAACTTATTTGATCTGTAATTAAGTCAGTAAATGTATTCATACTGACTTGATGACTTGAACATGATAGAGAAACTGCATTAAAAGTGACTCTTTACATTGAACTCATGTCATGAAATTAGATGGAAGATTCACATCTCATAACAAGACTTAAAGTCAATGTTTTATCATCGTTCTTTTGAATGAGGGTGACTTCAGTATCTCAAAATAATAACTTTATATCGCAAAATGTCCAAAAAATTACGAATTAACTCACAATAAAGACTTAGTATCTCAAATTAAAGATTTAATATCTCACAATAAAGACTTAGTATCTCAAATTAAAGATTTAATATCTCACAATAAAGACTTAATATCTCAAATTAAAGACTTAATATCTCAAATTAACGAGAAACTTTCCTATGAGTTAAATACTACCTCATATTGATATATTTAGTCATTACTTTGTAAAAGTTTCTCCTAGTGACTTACAAGATCTTCATTCTCATCAAATTGTTGGAAATGTAATTGATAGTATTTATTTCTCTCCGTGTGCTGCTGTAGCGAGGAACTGAATATATGTTGCACACTTTTTTGAAGTCTGCAAACTTTGGTGTAAAATGTATAAAAAGTAATTTAATGAAGCGATATCAAAGCTACAGTGCAAACGGTTTTGTATTGCAGCTGTTTGTTATTTTAGAGGCAGAAACCAGAAGAACAGAGCTGTGAAGCACAACTCTCCTCTCAGCTGACCCCTCGTGACCAAACTGAACTTTGACGTTGTTTTGACGGTTGGACTCTGAGACGTCGGTCACGTGAGCGGGACAAACACTCGCGTGTCACCGTATAAAAACCTACTTACCTGCCAAAAGAGCTCCAGGAATGAGGAAGCGAGTGCTTGTTTTGTTGTTTCCGAGGCCTACGGGTCACAAAAACCTCGTGAAACACACGAATGATTACGAGTTCAGTGGAAGGAAAACAACACATCCTCAGTCACGTTGGTTCCTTTTGCTCCGTTATTCATTCAGGATGTAATGTTCAGTGTAATTCTATAACTGGGTTTAATCTGCATCAATAAAAGTGAGAGGTCAGAGTTCATAACGATCATATACTGTATGTTCCAGATCACATGGAGTCAGTCGAATGAAATTAAACAAAGACTGAGAACAATATAGATAATGATGGGATGTCTAAAATAGGCATTTTCCCAAAAATGTTCCTTATAGTCAAAAGATGACATCTCAAAATAATGTATTTGTATTTTAAAATGTCTTTGCATCTCAAAATAATGATATACTATCACTAAAGTACAATATGTACCTCTGAGATGTAGTACAGTAAAAAGTACAATATGTACCTCTGAGATGTAGAAGTGTAAAGCTGCGAGTAAAGTACAAATACCTTGATTGTGTACTTGAGTAAATGTACATCATGTACTGGTTGATGACACATCAAACACAGACAAATGTTTACATGAACACATTTTTATTGCAATAGCTCTATCGAAAGCAAAAAAGTTTTGATAAATATAAACACTATGCCGATGCTCCAATCGCCTCCGAGTACCCCTCCTACCAACCCCCCCTCAGAGAGAGAGAGAGAAGTAAAACAAAATAAGGTGTGGGGGGGGGGGGGGGGGCGATAAAATGAAAAAAGCGACAACTTGAGTTTTCCGTATTTACAGAAGGAGGATTTCCATTTCCACAGTTTTCTCTTTTTTTCGTATATCGGACGAACGTCGCTGAAAAATAAAGCACATACGAAGGAAACACCTCCACAGTATTTAGTGTTTAACTGTCCTGTAAAGCTAATAAACAACCGCATTCAACTCAGAGACTCCGGTACAGCAGGGTGTGTTCACCAACACCCTGCTCTATTCATCCGAGTTTCTGCAGGACTGGAGGGGGAGGGGGAGCAGAACATCGTCTTCATCGTCCAACTGTTAACTGTACTACACAGCAGCAAATAAACTGTAATATAGTTACAAAAAAATAAACATCAGGCAGAGGTTGGAACCCATTTCTTTATACAAATAACTGCAAAATGCCTATGTACTCTTAAAAAAAAGAAAAGAAATACTAGCCTTGTATCGCTTTGTTTTTCAGTAAAAACAAGATTTTACATCAAAACAACCAAAAACAAAATTCCCCCCCCTCTCTGTAAACTAGAATAGAAAATAAACAGAGATTCGAGGAAGAAGGAAACCGAAGTTTGCATAAGGATGCAGTACCGT